AAAACTCTGATATGAAAATAAAAAAATTTTTTTTTTAAAATAGTAATAAAAAAAAAAAATAAATAAATAATAAAAAATTTAATTTTTATACATATGCTTTTTTTATTTTTAAGTTGCTTTGCATATATTAAAGAGAATCGGAAATTTGTTTTTCCAATATTTCATGATGAATATTGAAGGCTTGATTAATTATCTAACAAAGAAAAAAAAATTATATGTTAAACCCAATTTTTCTTTGTTAGAAAAAAAACAAATAAATATTAATTACATACTTGCTCCATATCCATTAAAGGTAAATTCAGTAATGATGTTCGGATCTCTGATTGCTCCAAGTCTTCAAGATTCTCTCTAGCATTTTTTAATACCGCTAAATAAGTACAATAAAAAGATTTCTTTAATTTACTTGATTGTACGAATAAAAAGAAGATAATGTAACATTTAACATACCTAAACACACGTATGGATGAAATCCAATAGGATCATCAATAGAGAAGTATGTATCTGTATAAAATAAACCGATAAATTATATTGATCATAACCCCTGCAACCCAATAATTCAATCCATGAATCATTATTTGATAACTTACCCCATAGCCTCAACAAATTTTCAAATTGAAGTTCTTTCGCAAACAAATTCTGTAACCATGACGAAGCCCATTCGTTAATATCAACTTCTTCTTCTTCAAAATAATTACATCTGGAAATATCAAACACTTTGAATTGAAGTATTTATATATAAAAAATAATAACAAATATTGTTTGGAGAAACTTACAGATCGGGAATAACAGCTCTAAGTAATGTCATGAAATTAGCAACACGCTCATTTATTTTATGAACCGAATTATATTCGTCTAAAAAAATTAAATGAATTTTTTTTAGAAAAAAAATAAGTCTCTAAAAAAAACCCAATATTATTCAAAATAATTAAAATTACCTAACGTAGACATGAGCCTTGTAAAACAATAGTATACTTCATATTCATTTTTCATACAATAAACAAACGGTGCGCATAAGTGAACAAGAGCTGGATGATAATCAACATCTCGATTATGATTCAAATAAGCTCCAATGACATTTTCAAAGATTTGCTTATAGCCATTGGTATCGTCGAGATTTTTAATCTTTTGATATCGACCAACTTCACCTCGAATGCGTTTATTGATTTCTATATACTCTTTTTCAATAGCGTTGTATTCTTCAGATTTAATCTTAACGCTAGTCAATTCCTGCGCTAACAAGTTTTAAAAATGAAGTTAAATAAAGTTTATTGAAGTTTTCAATTGAATCAAATCTTACTTACATCTATCAGCCGGATTTACTCCGAGTAGATACTTCCAAACATCCTTTAATGGAAAAGAATAAAATCATGCAGATATTAACTTAACAAGAAAACGAAAAAATTAGATATTGAAAGAAAAAATAAAGTATCATATATATAGAGATAGATATAAATATTTCTTATATGGATCGATTTTTTTTTTCAAAAAAAAAGGATAATCCAAAAGATGATATATTTACTCCTCTAATTTCCATGGGAACACCATGTCTTGAAGATTCTCTCAGCTTATCAAGATCAATATGAACTTCAGCATTCAGGATATCATTAAACTCATTGATCGAAGTAGACATTTCCAGAGTTTGATTTATCCTGTGATTTACTGGATATCGAACTAACTGTGACACTTGAAGCATAAATATAATTTTAGAAGGTTAAAAAAGGGCCGTTGGGCAAGTGTTTGTTTCTTATGAATAAAGAACTTTACAGATAAGAAAAAAAAATGTATGCTATGGGTGTAATAATATATACAAAGAACTAAAATATTTTATTTATAGACTGAACAACTTAGTTGATAAGTTACTCGAGGAATCAAAACATGATGTATAAAAATACTTGATAAAGAGTATTTTTGTTAAAAATTAAATGAGAAATATCATGTATTTGATCAAAAATTATTGTGTCAAAAAAAAAAAAAATTTTTTTTTTTTTTTTACACAAAATAATAATTTTAACTATATATATATATATTTTTTTTTTTATAGTTCCTCAGCTGTATTAAAAACTAAGAGGAAAAAGAAAAAAAGTTGAGGAAAGGGAAAAAATAGAGGAAGGAAGGTCAGAGTTGGATGGTAATAAATTTTTAGGAGGATAGGAAAAAATTTTTTTTTTTTTTTTTTTGACAAGGAAATGATAGGCGTTGGATTTTATTCAGGGTTCATATAAAAATAATTACCTCCCCTGTTGACAAATTAGAAATGTCCTCATTTCTGTAATAAATTAAATTTGTACAGCTTAAAGGGAAAAGGAATGACTTTTTTGTTTATTTGTCTTCAAGATCTATTGGTCTAAATAGATTTCGGTAAAAATAATTATTTTTTCCATAAATCAAAAATTTTTTGAAAGAAAAAGTTATTGTATCCTGCGGTGATTTCCGATGACGAAATTTTGCGTCACCGTCGTGATGGCAAGTGAATTGTCCCCATTTAGAATTCTAATTATATGATCTACAACCGTTTATTTCGTTTATACGTTTAAAATCAAATGATTGACTAATTTCATCATTTCTTTACAATCAAGAAAAAGAAAAGTAGAAAAAAGGAAGAAAGTTAGTAATAAATAATAATAATTAATAATAATAGTAATAATAAAAATAAAATAATAACTATAATAGTAATAATAATAATAAATTATTAAGTCAATATTAAGAAATAATAAAATAATATGATTGGTCAATTATGATGATCAAATTTGATGATTATTTTCTACTGGGGGGGCTGAAAAACAGGTGATAAAAGAGGGAAAAGAAATTCCGAGTCAATTAATAATTAAATTTAGTTAGTTCCCCAAAAAAATCATAAGCTTTTAAAAAAGACACAAAATGGGCCGATATAAAAGTCCGCACAATATGGCTGAATAAAAAAATTAAGCCGAAGGCGTTTTGGTTTCTGTTATTACATTCTGTACCGTGCAAACGATATTTGATATTCAAGGAGTATAAAAAAAATAAACAAAATAAAATAAATCATCATTATGAAAACAAAATCATAAAAACTTCTAAAAGAGTTCGTCATTATTTACTATTCTCACTATTCTCATACAGATATCAGGTGTGTTCCTTGAAAAGTCTGATCATGTTCAATGTAATCAATGTAATCACAATTATGCATGCGTGATACATTGGAAAAAAGAATTTACCCCAAAATTAAAATGCTCTTCATTTTAATTAGAAATTCTAAGTAATTAATAAAGCTCAAATAATATCATAATCTTACAATGAAGTTTTTTTAATTAACTAATAAAGGACAAAGAAATAAATTAAATGATCAGAATCCTACAAAATTCCAATAAGTTCACACGTGTTATATAACCATTTTTTTATTATTTGTAACACCAATTATCTACATATTAAGCAAATATTAACTATTATTTGAATAGAAATAAAACCTATTTTGTACAGGTAGAAAAAAAATCCTGTTGTAAGAGGAAATTCTTATCATTTTGATTGCCTTGAAAACTTGGAAGCATAATCGATCACAAATGGAGCTGAATAAAATAAATAAATAATGTTTACTCATTAATTAATCAAAGTAAAATGATTTAACAAAAAGAAAAAAAAAAGGAGGAAAAAAAAATTTATTATTAAAACTTACCTACGCGTATAACAATGACTGTTATAACGAACGATGTAAAACTGTTCCAAGTTTTTTTTCGCTGATCTTCTCTTTCTTCAGGTGTAGGTTTATTGGGTTGTATAAACATTTTGAAGTTGAAATTTAAAGGTCAAAAAATTACAAAACGTAGTTTTATTAGTTTTGTTGATAGATAAATGATCGATCTAGAAGATTTTAGTTAAATCATGTGATTTCATATGATTTCAACATTATTTAAATGATCTGCCAATTTTTAATCGTCCAAAAGTTCTTTCTGCCATGACCACTGATATTTCAACGTACCGTTTTGTGAGTATTTTTTTTTTTTAACTTTTACCTTTTGTTTCGAGTAATTTAATCCAATTTCTATATATTAATAATTAATCATGTCTTTCTTTAGAATCATACTATGATCCGGGTCAAAGACCCACAAGTTTCGCTCAAGTTTTATGAAGAAATCTTAGGAATGAAGTAAGTAATGTTTCTTTTTTTATTTGCTTGAAAAAACTTTCAAGCATTTGATAATGATTTTATTATGAAAAATTTTTACCAAGACTTCTTAATAAAGCCGATTTTCCAAATGGGAAATTTACGCTTTATTTTCTTGCCTATGTTCATAATGATGTCATACCTGAATCTGATGATGAAAAGTCCAAATATGTCTTTTCAAGAGAAGCAGTCCTCGAATTGACACAGTAAGAAATCTGATTTCATATTAACGAGTTAATAATCACGTGACTTAATATATCATTTACTTTTTAGTAATTGGGGAACTGAGTCCGATTCAAATTTTGAATATCATAATGGAAATAAAGATCCTCGTGGTTTCGGACACTTGGCGATTACAGTAGATAATATTGAAGCTGCTTGTAAAAGATTCGAAGATAACGATGTTAAATTCATTAAGAAGTTGACTGATGGTAAAAAAAATTACATACATATAATTAATTATATATATATTTCATTGGTTTTCTAATAATTTCATAACATCAACTTAAAAATATTTAGGTACAATGAAAAATATTGCATTCATTACTGATCCAGATGGTTACTGGATTGAAATTATTCAAGCTGGATCAAATGCAGCTAAACCACAATCATAAAGATTTAAAGAGGTTTTTTTTTAGTAATTTTGAGTCACAATCAATTAGGAGTATTTAAGTTTTTGATTTCGCATCTCATAATTATATGTATAACTTTTTTGTTTAATAATAAAAGGCAAACTTCATTTACCAGAAATACCTTAATAATATAATGACTATTACCTCAAAATTTTATTTTTTTTTTAACCCCTCTCACAAAATTATTAATTTGATCTTTAAGCCAAGTATTCATATTTTATGGTCTTCGAGAAGATAACCAATTGTTTGCGTTTATAAATTGTGATGCTAATTCATTAGAAATAGCACCACTGGTTTTAAGAGAATTTACGGCGATAATAACCTATTTATAATATATATTTGTTAATTATATTAATATATCAAATGAAAATCAAATCCGTATAATTTACCTCGTCCCAAAATACGAGTCCATTCTCTAAGTCTGCTTTCACATTTATACATCCCGTAAACGTTCCATCTAACTTCTTTAATGCTTCAGGTATGTGTGATCTTATGGCTGCCTTGTCATTATTATCTTTTGATAAAATTATAACATGTTCAAGGTACGTTTTAACGATAATTCCCATTGCCGTATTAACATCATACAAGAAGGGTAAACTGAAGTAAAATAATAATAATTATTATTATTATAATAATTAAGATATATTAAAAAATGCACAATAAATATAATAATTTTAACAAACCTTAAAGCAATGTCGAGATAGTCCTGTCTATCCTTAACACAATCACCATTTAGGAACATTGATAAAGTTAACATTTCACATAAATTTCTCAAAGAACGATTCATTGCTTTCACAAAACTATTAAAAGCTAAAAGCTCTCTGCTAAGAGGCCCATTCCAAGAAACTCCCTGATAATAAAACAAATAGGCAAATATTTTACCATACAAAGCATCATAAATGAATTATGTTAAATATACTAACCTTGAATTTTGCAGGAACCAAACTCAAAGTTCTTGAAATCAGGAGAATATATTTTTTCTCCTCTTCTTTTTTGTAATCAATAAATATAATAATATATTTGTTAACTTTGTACTAAAAAAAAATTATTTATAATAATAATTATATAAACGTATATATTAAATGTAATGTCTTACCGGTAGTAGCATTTGGTGGTATATAATATGACCTGCTAAGATTATTTCCATTTAAATATCCAAAACGTATTAATTCTAAAGCAGAGAACAATTGCTCATGATGTGATTCTGTATTAGACTTGAGCGTAGTAAGAGCCTTTTTAAAAGCACTACCCCACGCGGTATGTGTATGCGATGAGGTCAGAAATCTAAATAAACGAACCAGGTCAATAAATGATTTAAAAGAAGCTAATACATTTATATACAAAAAACCTTACTGTCTTAATTCTAAAAGTTTCCACAAAACATTGGCCAAAATCTCATCTTTAGATTCAATAATCTTATCATTATTTTTTGGCATAACCGTTTTTGCAGCCTGATCTTCTGTCGCTGTTGCCTTCAAACAGAAAGCAATATCAATAACGGATGTCTATAGAATGTAAATATTAGCCTCGATAATAAATAGAACTAAAAATAGTCTTACATACAAACTAACATACTTTTTGCGCTTTTTTTTCTTCCTCTAATCCTCTTTCCAAAACATTCCAAGTATTTAAAATCTCATGAACGCTTGGGACTACATTATGATTCAAATGGTGTTCGTTACTTGGTTCAAACCAGTAAACACTAACAACCCGCCTGGATTGATAAAACTGGTGTAAAGGTTGTGTAAGCAAACCCATGGCTTGAGTTCGAAGCTCAAGTAACTGACTAAGGAATTGTCTATATTCTATCGTTTCGCCGTTGCACAAAGGCGAGTTTTCGATAAGGACACCAGAAATTAAAGTATTAATAACCTAAGAGATTACACGCGATTATACTCAGTAAGATTAAAAAAAATTACGAGTGATAAATTTACTTATACATAATACTGCCAAACCTGAGGTGACATTAAACCCTTGGACAAATAATAATATATTTCATCGGGTAAGCGATACCCAATAACATCATGAATGTCAGTTGGCGCATTTTCAACATTTAAAGGTTCAATTTTTCCATCATCTGTCAACACCATATGATATTTAATAGCACACCTTGTGCGACAATATGTATCCACGTAGTTGGATTTTATTACTCCCGCATGCTCTGCATAGTTTTGAACGGCATTGAATCCAGTACGATGTTGTTTAACTAAATCATGTACACTTTTGAAAGTGAAAGTACTATACTCGGAATTAAGAGGTGGAAAAGTATTACAAATTTCAAATCCCGCAAGAATGCAAACGTCAAGAAATTGCTCGTCTGTTATAGATAAGTCGAGCAAAATAGACTTCTTGCTGAGCCAAGAATATGTACCTTTCTATTGAATAAAAATAAATGTTAACAAATAACGAATAATAATTCAAGTAACAATAGAATTATTAGATCAACAGATTTATATAACACAAACTTCTAAATCCAGGCTTATAATAACTTTCTCAACATCATACATTAACAATTCTGATCCACCGTATATTGCATGGATGAATCCTTTTGGATGACGTTCTAAATACACTAACTTGTGGATATCACAGGGAATTTTAAAATATGTAATTCGCATGAGTTATGTTTCTTCATAAATATGACAACCTCATATTATATATAATAACTACCAACTTAAAAAAACGCGTTAGAAAGTTTCCTACATACTTGTCCCCAAGCCAAATAAGGTGCACGTATAAATTCTATGTCATTCTCTTTCAAAATACTGAATACAAGATAATATAAGTCTGGTTGATTTATAAACCCAGATCCTGCCCAAGTACTATAAGCTGAATCCACCCAACCTTTCTCATAAAAATCCCAAGCTTGAGCACGTTTCGTGGGTCTTGTATCTTCCGTAGAGAATGGCTTATCTTTTCTAATTACGTTAAGCCCATTAAACACAAAGACTGGTGTAATTCCATATGATCTACGGAAAAATTTTGAACAAGTGAATATGGAGTTTTATTTATAAATAAATATATTAATACGTACTTTATTAATTCAAGTTCTTTTTCTATTGCTGCTTTTAACCCAATTGGTATTCCACCTAAAGCAGCAGTCGCAGGCTCTTTCGCTGAATTTTGTAAAAGTTTCCTAAGCCAATGTGTACCTTCAATTCCAAGACGAGTGTCTTTCAAATTTGAGAGTGCATTATGTTGAACCAGGCGACGTTCTGCCGTAAAAACTAAAAAATAAATAAATTAGTAACCCAAATGTATATTAGATATTAATTAATCAAAAGTACCGAAACAAATTACTCTTACATTCAAAATGTCTAATCATTTCAATAAAGTTAAAAGAACAAGTTTTGATCTAAATGATTATGTGATAAAGTTAAAAAAAGCTTAAATAATGAACCAATCAAATTTTGCTAAGTGGCATATAAAAGGTAGAAATTCATCTTTGCATAATTTTTGAGGAACTACCTTACTTCGATTTTTGTAAATATCTGTAAGTTACGAATCTTTAATGGACTCAACAGTCTTTGTTCGCCAAATCAAGTGAAATAGTATTTTGAGGCTATTACCGTAGTTTTAGAGTGTAGACCTTTTCTTTTTTTTTGCAATTAAGATGAATCGCGAACTTTTCGATTTTATTTTTTTACTATTACTGATATTGGATTTTTTTTAATTAAGTAATTAAATTTTTCATGTAGAAAGTTATCATGCCACTCTCACCACTATCAGAGAGCGAATCTCCTCTTCATAATAATACCAATGAAGATACATTTATCAATCCTTTCGAAATTTCGGATAATGTTTCTTCGGCAGATCCTAATATAACAATAGAGCCTGATGATGTTGGTCTTTCAACAGATAATAAATCTCAAACAAAAGCAAAAAGCCCAACACCTAAAACTACAACTACTATCAATATTGAACAAACTTCAACATCTGTTTCAGGATCAATTGGTCAACAAACCAGACCTTATGCTAATGATACTCTCGACGAACCAGTCTCAGTAACCATTGTAAGTGAAACTTTAATTATACAAATTATCATAGAATGACTAACCAGTTATTTAATATTAGCTTCGTGATTTGAGGAATGTGGCAATTAAATTACAACAGGTTCTTAATCCAAAAGGGCGTAGAGATGTATTAAAAGATTGTATATATTGGTTTATTTATTTAACTATTGTAATTGTATTATAAGTTTAATAGTAAGAAACATTTATTTTTGATTAGGGGATTTATGGGGTCCTTTGATCCTTTGTTTGTCTTTAGCAATGTAAGTTCTTATACATTTTCATATTTTAAAAAAATTCATATAAGAACAAATCTTGTTTCTTTTATCATAGAATTTTGAGCTTTAATGGACCAACAGGACAAGATATCTCGATTTTTACCGGTGTTTTTGTTATTGTGTGGTGTGGATCTGCTATCGTGACGATAAACGCTAAATTATTGGGGGGAGCTGTGTATGTTAATGTTTAAATATGTATTTATGTTTATTTAAAATCATTTAAATTAATAGTATGGTTTTCTATTAAATGCAGTTCATTTTTCCAGAGTGTTTGTACTCTAGGTTACTGTATTTTTCCGTTGGTGCTTATTGCTTTTGTAAATATTTTTACAAGCAATATTTTTATAAGGATTCCACTCGTGATTCTTGCATTAGGATGGTCACTATATGGTAAAAGGTTTAATATAGAATTTGTTTAAATAAATTACTTATTAACAATTAATTTCAATTTTTAGCATCTGTTAGCTTTCTTTCCGCATCACATTTAGCAAATCGTCGGACATTAGCTGTATATCCTCTCTTCTTATTTTATTCAGTTATTGGTTGGATGGTGTTTGTAACTGGATTATAAAAGTACATCCGTAGGAAATTTTTTTTGTGTGATAGAATTTATTTATTTAATATAGTTTCATTGCCATATTTTGTGGATCTTCACTAAATTCCAATCAATTTTAATTTTTCTTTGATGCTAGTGCTAGAAGTTTTCTTGTTACTTCGATGATAATTATCTGCAATAATACTGAAAATGAATAATATAAATTGCTTGATTTTTGTGGTTTAATATAATTTGATAGATATGGTATGAATATTGTAATAAATTTGAAATTTGAAATTGTGTTACTTACCATGTCACATATCAACATATCAGATATACAATATAAAAAACTTAGTATCAGAATTTGTTGATTTTAAAATCAAGATATTTATGTATATTTCAATAAATAAATATGTTCAATCCGATACAACATTATGTAATTCGACTAATTCGAGATATTGTCTCAAGCATGTATCAATAAAATAATTTCATTCTGGTTGTCATTTTTGCTCCTGAATTTTGCAGTAGATCTGAAATATTAACATCTCAGAATATTTGGGTGGAAAATGGTTAAAAGAAATGGTATAAAAATATACTAGTAGTGATCATCAGTCATGTGATTTTAAAACCCGTTCCTTCGGGAACGATCAGATTAAGGCTGAGGTAAATACATCGGCAAATATATTATCGGAATCTCATGACCGATCCTATTTGGATCAATATCCTAATTTGTATAGAAAATTTAGTAGTGAAGATTTCGATTATTATGGAATTACTGATAAGTCATTATGCCCCTATAAGAAATTTTCCGATTTTATTATCCGATTTTACTACGGAAATTGATCATTTTTCGGAATGATTACTACAGATTTTACCCGAAATTGCTCAGTAATTTTATGAATGTAAACGGAATATTATCAGATATATATATTATCCGAAAGTATCCAGAAAAATTTATTGAATATTACAGATTTACAGGTTCTTTTTATTCATATTTTCCAGCTATTATCTGAAAGTACTTATTCTATTTTTTAGCTTTCTTATGATTTTTTCAAGTAGTAATTTGGTTATTAGTTGTTTTTTTTTCTTTTGTTGAACTTGATTTCGTTATTCTAATTAAACTTTTATTGCTTCTTATATTTATCAAATTATAAATTGTAATATTATAAATATTGTAAACACTAACAAAAATTATAAATATACCATTCTTTCAGTAATTAAAGATGCTTCAATAATTGTTTTAGAAGAAGTTGATGCAGATCTTAAATACCTAAGAAAGTTGGAAGAAGTTCAAGTCTTAATAAATAAATTTGATTTTGACAATTCTATCACAGCCAAAAAATTTGTTCTTTATGATGATTCTGAGGTAATAACGGAAATAATTTCTAATGATGAAATTTTAAAAGCAGTTCAACTTAACAATCAAGAAAAAGAAGAAATTGAAGAGGAATTTCTACCAACAATAATTCATAATGAAATTATTGAATGTTACGATAAAGTGATCTTATATTTACAATATCAGAAAAAAAATTATGGTTCAAATAATGAGGATATTAAGTTTATAAAAAAATTAAAAAAAGAAGCTTTAAGAGAACGCTTTTGTTCTACAAAGCAAATCAATTTTAATAATTTTGTTAATGTAATCAAATAATTCTATTAATAAAAATTTTACTGGGAAATTTTTTAGGGTGCAGATCTGTGCAGGTCTGCAATTTTATAATTTTTGCACAATTTTTTAATGAAAATTAATGGTGATCTGTAAATGCAGATTACCACCATTATTTTTTTAAAATTTTGATATAAATCTATAAAAATGCAAACTGCTGTAATTCTTCAGTAAAAAATCTGTGACAACTTTCAATAATGTAAATTGTTATAATTTTTCAAATATGAAATCTGCGGTAATTTTCAGAATTGTAAAAATTTTAATTTTTAAATAAGAATCAGCAGTTTCAGCAATTTGCAAATGTAAACTGGTAAAAGATCTGCAAAAATCTGCAGGAATATCTGAAAATCAAGCTTTATTTAAAGTTTATTTAAACTTTTCAAAGTTAATGAAGTTCACTGAACTTTGATTTTTTTTAAAATTTTTTTTTTTCTTTTCATATATTAAACTGAAGTTTTTATAAGAAATTATGGTTTAATAATAACTTTGCCAGTCTTTAATATCTTTTTTATTAAAACATATAGTATTTATTCAATAAAAATTGATTTTTCTTGGCAAATCTCAGCACAATATGAACTTTTCGGCTAATTGAACCAATTGGGATTGTATTGTATTCTTCAATGTAATGCAACTGCAGATAGCCATAAAGTTCTGGTTCAAAAATGTTGATATCATACTAGCAAATAAGAGTGAGTTCATATGACTTTTTGAGTAGCTTCAAAAGAATTTAAACAATAATAATACCTTTAAAAATATCCATTTATTAAAGATATTAAGGTAAAAAAAAATCATACTTTAATTGTCTGGAGCGAAGCGAAGGACAATATATGTCTACGCACTATGAAAAAAAAATCGATCACGTGAGTTTCTCTGTCCGCCACGTGATCGTCACCCAATGAAATCGGCAAATTTTAGTTTTTCGTTCTGGACTTACAACGGTTCCCGTTTCCTAGTATTAATCAAAGTTTTCATACCAAGCACCATCATCTGAGTTAAAATTACTGGGCAAAATTTAGCAGTTTAAACAATTATTGAAATTGAAACTGTTTAAACTGTTTTGCTAAAAAGTTAAAAAAATGTGAAACTGCAAAAAGTTTAGTAAATATTGAAACTTTATTAAGTTTAGCCATATTTATATTATATAATTTAATATAGTTTAGCAAATAAAAGTTAAATTATATAATTTATATAATTTAGTAAATAGCAAATTTAAATATATAATTAAATTTAATATTAAAATATTAATTTATATAAGATCTTAATAATAATATTTTTTGTTTTCTTATATGCCCAACTATACCACCACACTGGTAAAAAAATGATTTATCCTACACATATCTTACACATATTGGGTACTCAAAATGTAGAAAATCATACACAAATAATACATATATCATACACATATTGGGTACTAATATATATATCATACATATATCAGGTACCTGATAGGTATACTATATATATAAGTACCTGATATGTATATGATATGTGTATTATTTGTGTATGATTTTCTACATTTTGAGTACCCGATATATGTAAGATATGTGTAAGATATGTGTAGGATAGACCATTTTTTTACCAGTGCCAATTATTACTAATTAGTAAACTCATCTAATCTTGAGCTTTTTTTCCCACTCTATAACACTTTGATATAATGTGATTTTCATTTAATGAATTTTCAGACTATATTGAATCCAACTCAATTGAAATATCATCAAGTACTGCAATTTGATCTTCCTGTAAATCTGAATAATTGTTCTTCTTTAAAGTTTGTTTATTCTGTTTTAAGTGTTTAACCTATTGGTGAGAGGATTTGAAGTAACGATCCATATTTTCAGATTCATTTAATTTTTCTTTTCTTCCAATATTTTTAGTCTTTTCCCATGCAATAGTAGCATTACATCTTGGTATCCAAATTAGTTCTTTAAAGTGAATAATAAAGGAGTCCAAAAGTGAAGCCAAGAATAAAATGTTTTTTGATTCTGAAAATCCAAATGTTTATTTTGAAATTTTGGAAATATTGGTGTTAATTTTAGCTTCCAAGGCCAATGAGCTAAAATCAATAAATTTTTTGTTATCATGTTGTAATCCTAGTATCTGGTTTAATTTCTCACTTATGACTTTAGGTGTGTTTTCTGGTATGTTACTCCATTTTTGAATTATAGGAATCACATCATCTTGCATTCTACTTTTAATTATAGGCCATAGATCCTTATTGGCATCACATTCAATAAAATGATATCTGTTTTCTTCTTTGTTAGCATTGCACCTGGGACAAACAAAATCTTTGTATATATTTAGTTTTTGCTGTAACAGGATAGTACCTATAGGAAGAAGTTTAGCAAATAGTTTAATAATAAATATTAAATGCCAGTGTTTTTTAACTGAAATACAATTAAACCCTTTATATCTATTAATTAAGTTTCATGTTATATTCCAGGCAATTGGTATTTCATGTCCATTGGTTTTTAACATTGACCATTCTGCTGCCACTCTAGCATTCATTAGAGTTTTGATAAATTTCCTTAAATTGTACTCTATTGGGATCTGTTTGAAAATTGGAAAAAATCTAACTGTCCTACTACATTTTAATTTTAATTTAATATATATTAAATTACATTATTTAATAGTAATTAAAAATATAATAACTGTTAAAACTATATTAAAATTATAGTAATAAATATGTTGAAAAGTTTAGACAATTATTGAGTTTAGACAATGTTGAAATGTTTTGTCAATAGTTTAAACTGTTTTAATAAAAGTTTAGACTTTTGTCAAATTCTAAAATAAGTTTAGCCCAGCAACTTTAGTCTGAATAGTATTACCACTATATTACTGAACTATTCTTTACCTTAGAACTTTCCTGTAGTTCTTAAAATCTTTTCATTTTCTAAGTAGACAGTATAGGATCCAGAAATATATATATAAGAGTCAGGTGGTGAAAATTTTTTTTACTATGAGCAGGACCCTGAATAATACTAATATTATACTTCTTCGCTAATTAATTACATCGTATTTTGGCGAACAGACCAATTCACTATTTATTATAAAATTACTATGAATTAATTGCATCTGTCAAAATACATTACGTCTGTCAAAATAAATTTAATTAGTATTTTGTCATTTTGACAAAAAGTATAACTAATATACAGTCAACTCCCTCTATAGTCACTCCCGTTATAGTCACATTCTACTATATAGTCACACCAGTTGAATGTTCAAAACACTTTATTATTAAAATTTATCCTATATAGTCACAATCTATCTATAGTCACTATCACACCTATCCTCAAAAATCTTATATTAAAAAGAACCGTTTATAATCACAGTTATATAAAGAATATATT